AGCCCCACGACCCAGCCCTCTGGCTCGGATCATTCACCTTCGCCCCCCATTGTGGGCAAGACCATCCCAGGGCCAGGAAATCGCATTTCCTCCCCCAGCCGATGGAGTGGGGCCTTTTCCCCTGCTTGCCACCCCCGCAGCGCGTCCCCCTGCTCGGCTGCTGCTCCCAGTGAGCCATTCCCAGGAGCTGACACCCCGCACGGCACAGGCAGCCGGACACGCTGGGGTAGGTCCTACATAAACACCATCGGTTTGTTTATGGGCTCCCCGGGAAAAGGCTGGGGGGCTTTCCGTGTGTGCGTAACACAGACAGAAAACGTTCCCAGCGCCTCCGCCTCTCCCCCATTAGGGGTAGCGTGGCTCAGGGAGTAGGGCACCAGACTGGGAGCCAGGATGCCTGGGTTCTATTCCCAGCTCCACTGCTCACGGGCTGGGCCAGTCCTATCTCCCCTCCCACCCTTCGTCCATCTCAGCTGCTTAGGGCGGTAAATCCCATTCTGCACGCCAGGCAGTCTCGGTGCATCAAGATGAACAGTAACAGAGAGTCCTGTGGCACCTTTAAGACTAACAGAAGTATTGGAGCATAAGCTTTCGTGGGTGAATGCCCAAGCAGGATGAACTGGACTCTAACGTTCATAAAGAAGAACACGTGGGCGAAATCTGGGAGGCAGGGACTGGCTCTGTGCAGCGCCGTGCGCAGCGGGGCCTGGGTCTCCGCTGGGACGGGGATGGACGCTCACTGTCTGCGCAGCAGCGAGTGTGGATAGGGCCCTATAAATGCAGCCATACCCCACGGAGTCAGTGCCAAGGCACTGGTGCCCTACGCGGTTTGACGAGTCCCACCCAGGGTACGTCTGGGCAGCAGGGCCGGTGCAGCAAACTAGGTGGCTGCCTAGGGCGCCTAGTGGTTGGGGGCGCCTAAAAGCCTGCTCAGGCGAGGAGGTGGAGTGGAGGTGAGCTGGGGCGGGGGGCTGCCCGCAGTAACGGGGGGGGGGGCGCACAGGGGAACTGCTCCCCGCCCCAGATCACCTCCACTCTGCCTCCTCTGCTGAGCACACAGCCCCCGCTCCAAGTCTCCTCCAGTCGGCGCCGCAAGCCTGGGAGGGGAGGAGAATTAGAGCGGCGTCGGCGTGCTCAGCGGAGGAAGCGGAGCCGAGGTGAACTGAGGCGGGCTCCCCAGGTGGGGTTAGCTGCCGCGGAGGGTGGGGTAGCTGCTGTGGGGGGGGGCTCCCCGGGCGGGGGGGGGGGGGGCGGGCCGCGCGGGGGGGGGGGGGGGGGGGGGGGGGCTGCCGCGGGGGGGCGGGGTTAGCTGGGTGGGGGCCACAAGATGGAAGTTTCACCTAGGGCGCGAAACTTCCTTGCACCGGCCCAGCTCGGCAGCAGCTGGCGGACGTCCCCAGGCAGCCGCCAATTTCAGTGCCTCATGGCCAGCTGCAGTAGACGCAGCCCTGGAGGGCAACAGGAGCTGTGCAATGGGGGCTCCGGTGCGGGGGCTCCGGTGCGGGGGGGCGTCCCAGGCAGAGCCCGCCGGCAAACCCCGAGCGTATCCTCGCTCTGGACTCGCAGGTTTGCTGGGGGGGCCTGAGCAGGGACTCGCTTTGCTCCTGGTTCTTCCGAGCCTGCACCCTGTGCTGGGCTGGGGCGGGGGGGCGGACGCACACTGCCGGGGGCTGGGATTGCTGAGCAGCATCCCCAGAGGGGCACGGTGCCCTCATGCCCCCAGCCTTGCTAACGGCTAACGGGGCCAGCTAACGCCGTTCTGTGCTATTCCAGAAATCCCTGGCCTTAGCACCTCCTTACAAGCGCGACAACCAAGTTCAATTCCTTACACGCTGCAGTGTTATCGGGGGGGGGCAGAGGGGGGGAACTGGGCCGCGCACTCTGGGGTGTTATCATGGCGGGGCTGGGCTGCTTGAAATATTCTCTGGCTCCATTCCAGCCCCCTGGCAGCCTAATCAGCGACCAGACGATATCCCAGCCTGCAGGGACCACCCGGCGCAGTCCCTCCCTTCCGACGGGGCTCTGGAGCCTACGGGAAATCACTGGAGAACAACCATCAAATCGTTGCTCCGGCGCCTTTCACCCCAGGCGATACGGGAACCTTTTGCTGACGGCCTCCCTGGAGGCTGACGTGCAGCCAGCTCTGGGGTGGAACGCGGCTGCTGCTGAACGGTGCACAGCAACGCCGCGTGTCATGTTAGGACAAGGAGAGCAGAACGACATTTCTGGTGCGACTGGGGCTCGGGTCCCTGACTCAGTTCTCCAAGGGGCTGCCTGGGGGCGGCGGGGGCTAGGGCCGCCCAGCCCTTCCCGGCGGGAGATGCCCACTCAGGCTAATGTGCCCTCATTACTCGGGCGCTCTAATGGAGACGGAGATGGTTGGCAGAGATTAGCGATTGTGTCCGGATGGGCAGACAAATGAATGCCGGCCGGGGGGGACGCACGGAGCGCGGCAGGAGAGTTATCGGTGCCTGTGCCGGGATCAATGCTATCACCATCCCCGGGCGCGGGGCCGGCTCGCACAGGAGCTGCTCCCCGCTGTGGATTTATAGCCATCGACCGGGCCGGCCCCCAGGAGCAGCCCCCGCGGGATTCGATCCCTGGCTCGATTTCAGGAGCTGCACAAAAGCCCCAATCAGCGGTGCACAAAGAGAGGCCTGCGGTTAATTAGCGCCCGTATCTCAGCCGGGCCAAATGGAGATGGAGTTAATTAGCTCTGGAGAGAGAGATAATGAGCCCCACGCAGCAGCTCATCAATCTTGTGTCCTGCGCTGCCTCTCCTGGGCACCCAGGGCTTGGAGGCAGGGCCCACGCGGCTTCCTGCCCCCCGTCTGCCCCCCAAGCTCCCCAGCCTCCGTTCGGCCCCATGCCGTGACCCCACCGTCAGCCCCATCCCCCAGATGTGCCCCACGTCCCCGGCACCAGCGCCCTCGGCACGCTCACGGGGCGGGGGGGGGGGTCAGCAGTAGGAGCCAGCACCAGGACTTGGGGGGCAGGCGGGGAGGGGCTGGTTTCTAGTGACGGCCGCCGAGCCCTGGGGAGAGCAGCTGCTGGGCAGGTCCTGACCGGAGGGGATGGGAACAGGCAGGCCCAGCGGGAGGGGGTGGCACGTCCCGACCTCGGGCCTTTGCCAGGCAGTACCTGTGCAGCTGGGGGCAGGGGGCGAGCGAGGGGTTCATCACAGCCACAGGGGGACTGGCCAAGGGGCGGAAATAGCCAGTCCCCTTCCTGCACCCCCCCGCCTGCCTGTGCCCCACATGCCTGGCACTGCAGCCGACACTCCCACCCCAAACGCCGCCCTGCGGGGAATCGCCCCGGGCTGCCAGCGGCTGAAGAGGCAGCCACGCAGTTCCCATTCTCTCCAGCAGGGGGCGGCGGCGCTCCCAGGCTCACCCTGGCCATGGCCACTACATGACCCAAGCTGGCCGGGTCTCAGCCCAGAGGCCATTTCCTGCCCCACACCAGCCACAGACCAGGCGCGCTAACCCGGCCCTGCACTGGCCACCGGGCAGAGCCCAACCTCGGACTGGGCCGTGAGGGAGGCCAGTGAGGGGCCGGCTGGGCCAGGCAGCGTGTGGGGGGGTCAGAGCACCCTCCCCAGCACGGAGCGATACAAGGCGAGGGGTATTTGGGGCCCCCCTTTAGAGCCACCGAGAGCCTGGCATGGAGCCCCCCCACGCCGCCCCGGAGGTCTCACTAGCAGCCAGGCAGCCCCTTCTCCCGGCCAGCCCCTTAATTAGCACGACATTAACCTCTGCCTGGGGCTCTGCCGCATCGAGCGGCGTGTTCATTAATCCAGCCGCCAGCAAAGGGCTCGAATTAATACAGGCCAAGGCCCCCCCGCCCCCGAGCGCTGGGGAACCTTTTAATTGTTCCAGGGCTGGCTGGGGGGAGGGAGGGGTCAAAGGTTAAAGCATTTATCGAATCATCTCAATTGCTGGGGCTTCCGATCCATCCCGCCCGGTGCCGATAACGGAACCCGCCGAGGACTGTGAATATGGCGCAGCCGAGCGCCCCAGCCCGCGCCAGCCCTTCGCGGCCACTCCGCACAGCTCCTTCCCCATGCTCCGCCGGTGCCCCTCACTCCGGACCCGCAGCCCCCCAGCTCCGCCGGTGCCCCTCACTCCCAACCCGCAGCCTCCCAGCTCCGCCGGTGCCCCTCACTCCCGACCCGCAGTCCCCCAGCTCCGCCGGTGCCCCTCACTGCCGACCCGCAGTCCCCCAGCTCCGCCGGTGCCCCTCACTGCCGACCCGCAGCCCCCTGCTAGCCCAGCCCTGGGCTCCCCTCACAGCTCAGCTGGTGCCCCTTAACCCTGACCTGTAGAGCACCCCAGTCGATCATAGTCCAGGAAACCCTACCTTTGCCCCCTCATAGCCCCTGGCGAGAACCCCTCTGTGCCAGACACCATTCTATCCAGAACAGGGGCGACAGTGGAACCAGCCAAGGGATCGAGGTCCCCGTGGCCCTCCCAGCTCCGACACCACAGGCGAGCCCCCCTCCCCCCCAGGAATGCAGCAGCTCCTCCTGCCCCCAGAACCTCAGAGCAGAGCCAGCAAACGGACCCGCATCCTGTGGACGCCTCCAACCCAGATCCGAGAGCCTGCAGCCAGAACCAGCAACATGAATCCGGCCCCGTAACGTCCCCGCCGCAGCCCCAGAGCCGGCCCCAGCCAACAGAGCCAGCAACGGATCTCAGCTCCAGAGCGACCCCAGGGGGCACCTGTCTGTCCAGACTTCCACGGGGACTTGTCCACTGCTTCCCTTTCTCCCCACAGGCCCTGCACCCCTCCACCCCCCAGAGCATGAAGGGTCGTCTTCCCGCCAGCCCCATGCCGTCGATTAGACCGAGCGGGGCAGTGGCTGAGGGTGGGTCCGGAGAACTGGACTGAAGCTACCGCCCAGTGTGAATGTGAGTCACGAGCCCTCCCCACCCCCCCATAACGCCTCTCTGCAGCCAGGCTCCCGGCCGGGGACCCCCAAAACCGCGGCCTTCCCTTACCTCTCTTCTGCATGAAGCCAAAGAGGTCGTCCAGAAACTCCTTCCGCTTGGGGTCATCGTCCAGTTCGTAGAGCTGCGGGCGGGAGAGAGAGACGGCAGGTGAGCAAGTCCTAGTGCAAACACACGCGTCCTGCAGGGGGGCGCTGGAATGGACTGGGTAGCACGTGTGTGTGAGAGACACCACTGCCCTCTGCTGGACAGCATCGGAGCTGCTCCGCTGTGTGTCATAGGCCCCCTCCTGCCAGCAGAGTCCCCTGTAACTGACGTGGTGGGGGGATCTGGGTTCTGGCCTCACCTCTGCAGCCCCCATTGGATGTGGGCGAGGCTGATCAGGAGCCTCCTGTATATTCAAAGTCCTGGCTCCCCCCAGCCAAACAGCCCCGGGCAAGAGACTCCGTGCCCCAAATCTGGCTGCGGTCCCCTTAGACTCCCAGCTGCCTGCGCCGATCGCCCCACAGAGGGGCTGGCACATCTCTGGGACATGGGGGTGGCTGTGGGAGTTTGCCTGGTGTCTCTCTGGGTGGGAGGTTGTGCGTGTCTGGGGTGTACTTCCAGGCCCGGGGCTCAGTATGTGCTTGGGGTGTGTTTGCCCCACAGCCACGTGCCCAGGCGTGACCCACGGTCGTGTTGCACGGCTGATCTCTCGAGATTCACGAACAACGTTCCTTTGCTCGGTTCTCTTCTCTGTAGGTTCTTTTCACGCACCCATCACTGCAGCGTCTGGGCTCCTTCCAGTTGTTGCACCAAGCGAGGACTGACCCCTATCTGTGCAGCAGCGATCCCTCCCGGCTGAGGAGAGCGCCCCCCTGTGGCACAAGCTCCTGTGGGGCTCGGGCTGCGAACGGGCCTCAGGAAGCACCTGCAGGAGGGGCCCCTGGGGACAGTGCTGGGGGCCCAGCTGTAACCAGCCCCAGGGCCAGGAGGGTCTCCTGGCCCGTCATGGCCCTTTCCGCCCGGGGAGCTGTCGCTGATCCCCCGACCCGGGACTGTCCCCAGCAGGCACCGATGACCCTGTCCACGAGCAGAATGGGGGAGCGAAGTGCTGGCTGCAGCCTGGGGGCCCGGCGGCTGGTGACCAGTGTTCAGCCCCCCCCATCCGGCATCCATCTCCCGTCCCCTCCTTCACCTGCACGGGGAGAGCTGGAAAGATGGACCAGCTCCCACTGACCTTTAGAACATCACAACGGCCACACTGGGTCAGACCAAAGGTCCATCTAGCCCAGTATCCTGTCCACCGACAGTGGCCGGAGCCAGATGCTTCAGAAGGAATGAACAGAACAGGACAATTCTCGAGTGCTCCATCCCCTGTCATCTTGTCCCAGCTTCTGGCAGTCAGAAGCTAGGGACACCCAGGACATGAGGTTGCATCCCTGACCATCTTGGCTAATAGCCATTGATGGATCTATCCTCCATGAACTTCTCTAGTTCTTTTTTGAACCGAGTTATAGTTTTGCCCTTCACAACATCCTCTGGCAAGGAGTTCCACAGGTTGACTGTGCTTTGTGTGAAGAAATACTTCCCTTTGTTTGTTTTAAACCTGCTGCCTGTTAATTTCATTGGATGATCCCTGGTTCTTATATTATGCGACGGGGTAAATAACACTTCCATATTCACTTGCTCCACACCAGTCATGATTTTATAGACCTCTGTCATATCCCCCCTTAGTCGTCTCTTTTCCCAGCTAAACAGTCCCAGTCATTTGAATCCCCCCCCCCGTATGGAAGCGGTTCCGTACCCCTAATCCATTTTGTTGCCCTTTTCTGCACCTTTTCCAGTTCTAATCTGATTTGGGATGGAGTGACTGGAACTGAGGCCGTATTCCAGGTGTGGGCGGACCATGGATTTATATAGAGGCAAGATGATATTTGCTGTCTTATTACCTATCCCTCTCCTAATGGTTCCACAAACTCCACAATATTAACAACCTCCCCCAGAACAGCGTCCTGGCCACCACGGATACGCCAACATCCCTCTCCATGATGGCATCGCTGCCTGCTTCAAATATTTACAAGACACAGGACAGGCCCCAGCTCTCCCCCAAACACATCGCCAGACTCATCCGTTTCACCCTCACCCGTGACAATCTCACATTTCACAGCCAACCCTCTGTCCAAGCCATGGGAACTGCCGCGGGCACCAGGAGGGCTCCCCAGTGTGCCAACCTCTCCATGGGCACCTTGAGGAAGAATTGCTGGACAAATGCACCAGGAAACCAATGCTATTCCTGAGATACAGCGATGATACTCCCTCCGAGATTTCTACCACGACTTCAACCACCATCACCCATCTATCAAACTCTGGAACACGCCCACACCAGCATCAACTTCCTGGACCCCACAATCGGCTTCAACAATGGAACCCTATTGACAACTGTATACCAGAAACCCACAGATCACCACACCTACCTCCACAGATCCAGTAACCGCCCCAGACACACCAAGAAATCTGTTCTCTACGGCCAGGTGCTCAGATACCGCAGAATGTGCTCCGAGGAGAAAGTCCGGGATACACACCTTAACACACTCAAAACTGCCTTTGCCGAACAAAGACGCTCCATCAGAGAAGTAGATCACGTCATGGAACAGGCCACCCAAATACCTACTTCAACACAGAAATAACCCCCCCCTTCCCGCACACCCCGAGCTGTCACCTCCCACCCCGCACTGGACCCCATTCGGGGTATCATCAAACAACGACAGCCCACACTCGATGGGGACCCGATCCTGAAAGAAATGTTTCCTAACTCCCCTCGTCCGGCTTTCAAGCAACCCTCTCCAAACTCATCATCAGAAGCAGGCTCCCCACAGACCAGCTCACACCAATTCAAAGCAGCAACAGACCCTGCCCGAACAAGAGATGCAAAACCTGCAGCCGTAGCTCCATTGCTACAATGATCAACACCCCCCACAACACACTTTTCGAGATCCATGGCTCCTACACACACCTATCACAACACGGGGGGTACCTCATCCAGTGCGTGAAATGTCCCAGTAGCAACTCTGTGGGTGAAATGAGACAATCACTGCAAACGCAAATGAACTCACACAGAACTACAATAGGTTGAACAGCACTTGGCCCAGTACAGATCCTTGGGGAACCCCCCCACCATCTACCCTTCGTCACTGTGAAAACTGACCATTTCTTCCTACCCTTTGTTTCCTGCCTTTTAACCAATTACTGATCCAGGAGAGGACCTTTCCTCGTAGCCCATGACTGCTTAAGAGCCTTTGTCCAAGGCTTTCTGAAAGTCCAAGAGACACTATATCTCCTGGATCACCCTTGTCCCCAGCTTGTTGACCCCTCAAAGAATTCTAACAGATTGGTGAGGCTTGATTTCCCATTAGAGAAGCCATGTTGTCTCTTCCCCCATGTACTGTGTTCATCTCTGTGTCTGATAATTCTGTTCTGTACTCTGGCCCCTCCTGTCCTGAGGTGACATGTACCCAGTCACTGTGGGGATTGTTGAAATCCCCCATTATTACGGTGTTTTCTATTTTTTGAGCCTCTCTTAGCTCCCTGAGCATTTCACAGTCACTGTTGTGGTGAGGCTGGTCAGGTGATCGGTAGTATATTCCCACTGCTCTATTCTTATTATTCCAGGATGGAATTTCTATCCACCGAGATTCTGTGGGAGTTTTCTTCATTTCAGATTTTTACTCTATTTGACTCTGCTTTCTTTCACATCTCGTGCCACTCGCCCGCCAGCGTGACCGACTCTGTCATTTCTGTCGATTTTATACTCTGGTATTATCGGGTCCCATTGATTATCACGTTTCTGTGATGCCTGTTATATCAATATCATCATTTAATACCAGGCGCTCAAGTTCACCCATCTAAGTATTTAGACTTCTTGCATTTGTATACAAGCACTTATAACATCTGTCAATATTTAGTTGTCTGCCTTCGTGTGATGTACTTGAATGGGGCTCTCTTCAATTGACTGTTTTTCTTAGTTCCTGGCAGTACGTTATCAACTTCTATCCTCTCCTCCTTACCAGGAGACAGAGAATGTGTTTCTCCGGGCCTGTCGGCTTTCCCCGGTTTAAAAGCTCCTCTATGACCTTTTTAATTTGACATGTCAGCAATCTGGTTCTGTTTTGGTTTAGGTGGAGCTCATCCTTCCTGTACAGGTTCCCCCTTTCCCAAAAGTTTCCCCAGTTCCTAATAAATCTAAACCCCTCCTCCCTACACCATCATCTCATCCACGCATTGAGACCCTGCAGTTCTGCCTGTCTAACTCGCCCTGCGCATGGGACTGGAAGCATTTCAGAGAATGCTACCATGGAGGACCTGGACTTCAATCTCTTACCTAGCAGCCTAAATTTGGCCTCCAGAACCTCTCTCCTATCCTTCCCCATGTCATTGGTACCTACATGTACCACGACCACTGGCTCCTCCCCAACACTGCACATGAGCCTGTCTAGATGTCTTGAGAGATCCGCAACCTTTGCACCAGGCAGGCAAGTCACCATGCGGTTCTCCCGGTCATCGCAAACCCAGCTACCTATATTTCTAATGATCCCTCCACTCCCCCGTTACTATTACCTGGCTCTTCCGGAGGGGTGGCCTCAGGGCGAGAGGTTACCACGACATCGTCTGGAAGCAGGGTCCCAACTATGGGATCGTTTCCCTCTGCTCCAGCTTGGCTTCTCCTTCCCTGAGACTTTCCTCCTCCTCAACCGCACAGAGACTGTCAAGTGGGGGAGTGGGACAACTCTGCTGTGCCCCAGAAAGTCTCCTCTCTGCACCTCTCTGTCTCCCTCAGCTCCTGCAGCTCAGCCACTCTGCTCTCCAAAGCCCGTACACGGTCTCTGAGGGTCGTGAGTTGCTTGCACCGAGTGCACACCTACGCCACCTGCCCACAAGGCAGGTAATCCCACAGGCTGCATTGAGTGCAATAACCTGGACACCCCCTGCTCTGCTGCTGGACGTCTGCCCGCATTAGCTTTACTCTTGCAGGGTTATTTGGGGTGTGGGGGGGTTAGGTGTATCTGCTCCCACGTTCCCACTCAGAACCCCTCGCAAGACTCCTGTTTGCTGGCTCCAAACCATATCGAGCCCTGTTATCCCGGC